GCAGACCGCTACCCGGCAGTCAGAAACCTCACTATCAACGGCATTGCACACGACGTCAGCGCCTAGGAGACCGCTCCCCACGGCACCGTTAAGGGCGTCATCAGGGGTGTTCCGTCGACGGACACTATTCTAGAAATTGAAGAATCTTAGTTCAAGACTATAATTCGACTACTGTGCAAGTCAACCATATCGGTAAGACGACGACGGTGATCATCGCATTCGGCGGCGACAAGGCCCCGAACCACAGATACGGCAACCTGTGGGTCGAGTGTTCGCTGAATCGCAAGCAGATCGATATGTGCTACCGGTGTGGTCCCCCTGCCACCAAATGGACGTTTGCCCAAACCCAGAAGACAGGATATGCCGTGGTCGTGGAATGAAGAATCACGAAGAAAGCCACGTCTGCAGTAACCCCAATTGCAGCCTCTGCGGGGAGAACCACCTCACCACAGACAAGAAGTGTAAAGCAAGGTTCAAGACGCCATACGTCGTTGGTAAACGGCGTTGGGAACGTGAGCAACGAGAAGAAGAGATGTAGCTGCAGCAGCCGAGGGTGCCAGCGTGACAGCAGATAACGTGGCAGGCGTCGGACGGGCGTCGCAGCCGCTCCCAGAGAAGGCGAGGGAGAAGCAAGAGCGCTACCAGGTCACCATCGGCAGCTGGGGCTCGCAGGCGCGAATCTCAATGGAGGCCCAAGTCGAAGGCCCGGCGGAGCGACCGCGCCGAGAAGCAGGTGGGCCGGGCAGCGGGGTTTCCCGTCGCTCTCAAGAATAGCAATTTCCCTTCCGTTTGCTCCTCCTTCCCTTCCAGAGACAGAGTGTTGACACTGTTTGGAACTCAAGCAAAAGGTAGAGAGGCAGAACAATCAAATCAAGAGCCAAAACAATCAGATGGAGGCAATGATGGAGTGTATCGAGGTACTCAGTAGACCAAAGAACAATGGTAATGACGTCAGCGTAGCTAAAAGGAACGTAGCCAAGTCATACACCACCTTCGCCGCTCCCGCGGCGCCGAAGGCGATCACGCCACCGGCGCTGATCACGCCACCGGAGTTGACGCAGTTAGAGATGCAAGCTCTAACGACAGAAATGGCACTCGTTTCCATGGAGGAAGAGAAGGCCGAGGCCGCCGTTCCTCCGACAATGGAGACGGTCATGAGCATGCTTACACAAATCTCCAAACAAGTTTCTCAATTGCCTGAGCCAGTGAAGAGTCTAACAGTAAGAATGAAAAATGTGTAGGCCAAATGCAGAGAACCCTCCGTTAGTTGCATGCGAAAACTAAGCATCTCACGGTTGCCAAGATGAAGCCATCACGAGTTAATCTACGGGTCAGGCAGCGAGAAGTTGGTTCCGTGCGCAAATCTACCGCTCAGAAAGTAGAAAATGACGAAGACTAAAGGAAAGCAGAAATAGACTGCGACGTTACTTCAATAGAACTGTACGAGTGTTATAAACAAGATACAGAAGTTACAACTATACGTTGATAAATTGGACCAGTAACCGGATATCATAGCGTTACAAGAGACCAACGGCCGGGCGAAGCTTGCGGTATACATAACGTATACGGACCCTAGCGAAAAGGGTACTGCGATCTTGGTCCGCAGCAACGTGGCGGCCACACAGAACGTGACCACTCAGCGAGGCTGCGAACATACGCTCATGAAAATTCAAAGCAGAAGAGTGGGGGGTGACAAGAACATCTTTGTCCTGAATGCGTATTGCCGACCGTCCAGCAGGGTCATTGACTTTGAAGGCACCATATTGGACTGCATTACAGCAGCAAGAATGAAACCGATCTTAGTGGTAGGAGAGTTCAACGCGGCCTACACGGGGTGGGGTTACAAATATTCGTCCAAAAGAGGAAACCAAATGGTAAAAGCTGCAGAGGATCACGACATGGAGGTGGTTAACGAACCGGGCGTGCCGACCAGGACAGGCACCAGCACCGGTCAGAAACACCACTCCTAATCTAACGTTAGTTCAGGGGAACCTCGACGTTACTTGTCGTAACACGGGAGAGAATCTTGGCTCAGATCACGACATCATTTGTGTCACCCTCGGGGGGATCGATATGAGGGCGAAACTGGGTCAAGCCACCATTACAGACTCGGACCGGTTACGTAGACGCGCAGACTGTGAAAGCAAGGACGAGGACCAAGACACCAAGACGTATAAGGCATGAGCCAAGAAGCAACGCAAGTTTGTGAAGAAATTTACACAGAAGATTACTACGACTACGCGAGTTCCCTTCTTAGACAGGAGGCTTAGCCACGTGTGGGCGGGCAGGCACGGTCTTACTCGAAGATGGAGGAGGCGAAGACATAACAAGAAGCTTCGGAGATGCATACATGACCTTAACAAGCAGGCGGTCTAGCATGCGCAGCAGCTATGCAGGGAAAATTGGATGAAAATGTGTGAAGACCTGCAAGGCACACTGTCTACAAGGAAGACTCCGAAACTGTTGCGGCACCTGATAGGGAAAGCGCTCGAGACTTCACAAGAATGATCAACAGTTACGACGGGGACGGGAGAAGCTCATCCGTGAACTCACAAGTAGATACCTCACGACCGAGAAGAGAGATAATCCGACTCTGGAGTACGAAGGGGATAGCAACGTCGAGATGGAGGAAGCCTTCACCGAACTGCAGCTGGTTGCGGCCATCAATGAAAGTAATCAAGGCAGCGCACCAGGCATAAACGGCGTTACACACAAGATGCTTAAAAATATGAGTGTCGAAAGCCGAGCGGAACTGCTAAACCTCGCCAACGCGTCCTCGCAGAAGGGTTCGTTACCAAAAGAGTGGAAGAAGCGGAGGTGCGTTTCATTCCCAAGCCGGGGAAACCACCCCACGTCGACAACTTGCACCCCATCTTCCTCACGTCGTGTGTGGGGAAGGTGGTCGAGCGTATGGTTTTAAGAGACATTTGGACATCGACCATGTACGGGTTCCGGAGGCACGTGGGCACGCAAGACGTCTTGGTGCAACTACACGAGCTGGTAATCAGGAAAGCAAAGACTCCTACGCCAAGAGCTATCCTGGGGATCGATCTCAAGGGGCCTTCGATGACGTTACACAAGCAAGTATTCTCCGTAACCTGCGGCAAACGGGGTGTGGAAAGCGAACATTCAAGTGTGCACAGGATTTCTTAAGCAATAGAACGGCAACGATCAAAATTGGAGAAAAGGAGTCGAAACCGATAGCCCTGGGAGACAGAGGCACCCCGCAAGAGTCGGTTTTCTCGCCACTTGTCTTCAACCTGGCACTCCTCCCGCTCTCGGCCCTGCTTCAAGACATAGAGGGCATAGATCATGTTATCTACGCAAACGATATCACTGTGTGGACGTCGAAGGCAGGGTCGGAGAGTTGGTTGGACTAGACCCTTCAAGGAGTGGCAAAGACCGTGCACGAGTTCGCTAAATCGTGCGGCCTCAGTTGCTCGGCACAGAAGTCGGAGTTACTCGTCATCAAGCCAAGAACAAAGAAAGGAGAACAAGAGAACGTCGGCATCACCATCGACGGGACAAGCATAACGCCAACCACGCAAGCACGTATCCTGTCCTGGGTGTCATCTTCCCGAACAGCGGCAAAGCGGGGGCGTCGATCGAAAAAGACGAAGGTTTCTAAGGACTAAAATACGAACATGATCAGAAGAGTCATGAACAGAAGTGTAGTGTTCCAAGAGTCAGACAAGAAGGAAAGCGGCGATAGGCCAGGATAGAGAAGGATAGAGAATTTCTCTGGCTTCCTTTTTTCTACCTCAATAAAAACAAAAGAGAAGAGGAGGATGAAGAGGTGGATAGAATAAAAGCGGCAGTTTTGATCTTGACGCGTGTTACGAACCGTTACACTTGGCGCAGTCGAGAAGATCACATGAAAGATGTGGTTTTCTTTAATTTTGACGGTTGGCAAAGAAGGACAGCCAATACTGGAGAGCTACCAGCTAAACGGTGAGGAAACAGTTCCAATGGCCCGGGAAGCTAACAGCATAGAACTTATCTCCTTCATCGCCAGGAAAGCGAAGTTGTCGCCGAAAGAACTTCTAAAACGGAAGGTGAAACTAAACATCATAGTGCAGGAATTCTAGGAGTGGTTTCAGAAACCGACCACTACTTCTGGTGAAGTGATTTCGGCCGGTAGAGACTTGGCATCGGTTGTTGCTCAGCTGCTGCAGTTGCAAGTATCTCAAATAGAACGCCAGAAGCAGTTCATGACCACCATGTTAGAAAATATGAGAGTGGAAAGACGTAGGCGGGAAAAGACAGTAAAGCCAGATATGTTTAACGGCGAATCTTCAGCTGCTTCTACGTGGCTGAACTTCTACAAATATGCCTGTGAGAAAAACCGCGGGACAAAAAACAGCGCGCGGATAAAGAATTTAAGGCTCTTTCTCGCAGGGAATGCGAAAAAGTGGTACGAATTTCATGTGGGTGCGATTCGTGGGATACGTAGAAGGAGAGCTTCACAATATCTTCTGACAAAATGCGGTTGAATGTGGGATAAGGCAATATTTTACAAACATCGAGAAGGCAGCCTACTAGATTAGTTTTATGAGAAAGAGCGACTTGTACAGCTCGCCGATTCTAATTTACACGAAACATCGATCGTCGCACTGGTCATCCACGGGATGAGCAAAGAGGCAGAAAGACAAGTGAGAGCGCACTCTCCAAAGACCATTGAGGACCTTCTGTATTCACTGAAGGTTGTGTTCGTAGACCACTCCATTCCCCACGGAAAACAACGACCACTAACGAAGCTCAGAAGCGCGACCGTCAACACCCACAGCGGCCAAAAGCTTCCAGTAAACCGGGCAAGTAACAAGCCTTAAATGAACACAAGACCCAATTCAGTCAGCCACGAAGCACGTGCGAATGCATGCGCGTGCCATCGCATTGTGGAAGGGCCGCAATGCGCGTGCTTCGATACATGCCACCGCATCGTAAACAGCGGTGCTAACGACCAGACGGAAATCTAATAAGAGGGAGCACAGTCCCTCCCGATGACGAAGAAAGCGACTGTCTACTTGGTTAAGTACAACATCCTTTATGCCCCTGTTATCGTCAGTGGGAGACACGTGGATGCCTTCGTTGATACTGGAGCATCCATCAGCCTTGTCAACAAGAATATCGTGGACCCAGAAAAGATACGAAGTCGGCTGCCCATCGACGTTTACAGCTATGATGACAATGTTAAGCTAATGCAAAACTGGACGACGTTGGAAGTCGAGTTTAAGGGAAAGAAAATCCCGGTCAAGGCACTCGCCGCAGAAGACGTCGAGCTCGTGTTCGTTTTATCACGACTCGACATGAAGCACTTCCAAATGAACATAGCCTGGAAGGACGAAGTAACCCTAGACAAGGATGCGGATAGCTCACCTGCTGCTCCAGGTCAAATGGTCAGAACTGTGAAGAGGTCTAAGTACGTACCAACATCGTTCCCAGATTTGATATGTGTAGAATTTTATCCATCAGCAACATCGGTTATTGAGGTTCCATTCAAGCTACGCGACACATCTGCAGTGCGGAAAAAACCCTACAGCATGTCCCACGAAAAGAAATTATGGCTTAAGCGGGAAGTGTAGAGAATGCTAGATGCCAGGATCATCAGACCCTTGACGTCAACGTTGTCATCCCCAATCACCATAGCCCCTAAAGAAGATGGCATATTTCGTCTCTGCACAGATTATCACCAAATCAATTCCCAGACAGGACGTGCTCCTGGTTCTACAGGATCGATCTCTGTGAAGGCTATTGGCAGGTCCCTCTACAGGAACACATCAAGTCCTTTATTGCCTTTGTAACACCAATCGACGTGTACGAATATAACCGACTACCATTTGGTTGGAAGAACTCTGGAGCCAGGTTTCAGAAGATGATATTGTCACGAATGACAAGTGATGAGGCGGCGAATAACTGAATAACCTGAATGTTTAACGGGGCGAACTTGTGCCCAAAAATAAAAGGAAAAATAAAGATAACAGCAGAGCGTCGCGGGCGTCGAAGGCGGCGAAGCAGTAAGATCGAACGCTGATGCGAAACTAATTGTGGTTCGCCACGCGGAGCCCCTTATGTGCACACGTGCGGTTCTGGAAGATTCGGCATAGAAGGTTCTGCGTGTAGAACATTCTGACCTCGAACAAGCAGCACGGTTCTCGAATTTACCAGAACCTTACGTCAGCGTCAACAAAAATGCGTCCCCGCGACCAGGACTCTAGATTTCTGCGTGGAAGGCACGCTCGATAACCGTTAGGCCACGAGCGCACTGCCTGCTTGGTCAACTGCGCTCGAGGCATCACTCCCCACTTTAAAGAAGTGCATCGCCCCGATGCAACACAAAACAAAACAGAGCAAATAAAAAGGAAACTAGACTAAATAATCATTTGGAACACATAAGGTCCACAGTCCTATCGAGCGTAGTACGGATTCATTCAGGCCGTGGTGGACGGCGTGATGATGTTCTTGTTCCGTCGGGCATCACCTCGTAGTTCAGATCTCCAAGTCGACGAAGTACCTTGTACGGTCCGAAATACCGTTTCAGGAGTTTCTCGCTGAGGCCACGGCGACGAATGGGGACCCTGTCTGCGGGCTGGAAGTGGACGTCCCGACGACGAAAGGTGTAGCGGCCAAAGTCGAAGCGTTGTTGAGCTTTAATCCGGAGTCTGGCGAGCTGACGGACTTCTGCCCGTTGGGCAACCATCTGAGGGTCGTCGCTTCTGTCGACAGCCGGTTCTTGGGGTAACATCACGTCCAGCATTGTCGTTACCTTGCGGCCATGAACCAGTTGAAAGGGTGTCTACCCAATGGACTCTTGCACGGCCGTTTTGTAGGCCAACGTGACGTACGGCAACACTTCGTCCCATGTCTTGTGCTCGACGTCGACGTAGATGAAGGTCATATCGGCGATGGTCTTGTTGAGTCTTCCCGTTTGCCCGTTGGTCTGCGGGTGGTACGCCGTGGTGCGACGATGGCTGGTGTGGCTGAGAAGAAGGACTTCTTGCGACAGCTGGGCCATGAATGATAATCCACGGTCTGAGATTGGGATATGGGGAAAGCCGTGCCGGAGGACGATGGACTCGATGAAAAACTTGGAAACTTCGACAACAGTCTCTGCAGGAAGGGCTTTCGTTTCGGAGTACCGGGTGAGATAATCTGTGGCGACGATGATCCACCGGTTCCCCGACGTCGACGTCGCAAAAAGGCCGAGTAGATCCATTTCGATCTGCTGAAAGGGTGCAGTTGGAGGAGAAATTGGCTGCAGGAGTCCGGCCGGCATCATCGGAGGATTCTTGCGTCGCTGGTACTCGTGGCATGATCGTGTGTATAGGTGGACGGTCTTGGGGAGCTTGGGCCAGTAATACGTTTCACGAATACGGGCCAGTGTCCGGGTGTAAACAAGGTGTCCGGACGTTGGGTCGTCGGGGCAGGCTTCGAAGATCTCCTCTTGAAGGTCGGTCAGAATTACCAGCAGCCAGGACAAGTTGTTGTCCCTGAAGTTCTCCTTGTAGAGAACACCTTGTCACATCACGAAGTTCGACAGGGCTCGTGAGAAAACACGTGGCGTGGTACTCCCGCGCCCTTCCAGGTGCTATATTAGTGCGCGCAGCTCAGGATCGTCTCGTTGACGTCGTGCCATGTCGTCAATGTTCACTGCGCCTAGGAAGCACTCGTCTTCATTGTCGTCGCTGCTGCCGGAAGGTGTTTCGACGGGCGCTTGAGACAGGCAGTCGGCGTCGCTGTGCTTGTGGCCGGACTTGTAGACCACAGTCATGTTGAACTCTTTTAGCCGGAGACTCCATCTAGCGAGGCGTCCTGACGGGTCCTTGAGGCTGACAAGCCAGCAGAGCGAATGGTGGTCCATGACTACGCGGAACGGGCTCTCGTACAAGTACGGACGAAACTTCGTGATTGCCCAGATGACCGCAAGGCGTTCTTTCTCAGTCGTGGAGCAATTTTTCTCCGACGTGGATAGTGTCCGACTTGCATAGGCGATTACTCGCTCGGTGCCTTCTTGTAGTTGAACCAGTATCACGCAGAGTCTTGCATTACTTGCGTCCGTGTGGATCTCGATTTCCGCATCCTGACCGAAATGTCCAAGAACACGAGGAGTCTGGAGTCGTCGCCTCAGCTCGTCGAATGCCTGCTGCTGCTCCTCGGCCCATTCGAACTTCTGGGCGTCCTTCGTGAGGTTTGTGAGCGGTGCAGAAATCCTAGCGAAATCCCGAACGAAGCGCCGATAGTAGGCACATAGTCCAAGGAACCTGAGTACGGCCTTCTTGTCTGTCTGCGCTGGAAATCCTGCGACAGCGCGAATCTTTTCTGGGTCCGGGCAAACGCCTTCGTTACTAACCACGTAACCTAGGAACTTCAGTTCGTCATAAGCGAAGCGACACTTTGACGGTTGGAGAGTGAGTCCGGCGGTTCGTATTGCTTAGAGAACAGCTCGGAGACGTCGCAAGTGCTCGTCAAAGTTGCCGGAAAAAAACTACGACGTCCTCGAGGTACACGGGACAGCTCTGCCACTTCAGTCCTGCCAGTACGGTGTCCATGACATGCTGGAAAGTTGCTGGCGCCGTGCATAGGCCGAAAGGCATCACATTGAACTCGTACAGGCCATCCGTCGTGACGAAAGCTGTCTTCTCTCGGTCGCGTTCGTCGACTTCGATTTGCCAGAAGCCACTCTTCAGAACCATCGATGAAAAGTATTGAGAGTGGCGCAGCCGGTCTAACGTGTCGTCGACGCGGGGAAGTGGATATACATCTTTTTACGTTACCGTGTTCAGCTGCCGGTAGTCCACACAGAACCTAAGCGTTCCCTCCTTCGTTTTAACCAGTACGACTGGAGAGGCCCACGGACTGCTTGAAGGCTGGATTATGTCGTCGTTCAGCATCTCTTGAACTTGCTCCTGGATTACCTTCCTTTGTTTTACGGAGACTCTGTACGGCGATCGATGCACAGGGCGCGCGTCGTGCTAGGTAATGATGCGGTGCTTCGCAACGGCGATTTGGGGTACCTTCGACGATGTCGCAAAGCAGTCGGTGTACTCGGCGAGGAGGTCGATCAGCTGCCCTCTTTTCGGGCCCGGAAGCTTAGGGTCAATGTCGAGCTGCGCTGGCGACGTACTGTCTTGCTGAGGTGGCGAGGATTCTTCAGTAATCCCAGTGATTTGGGCGGAGCTCCGGAGTTCCTCGACGTGACCCACGGCTGCACCTTTCGTGATATGTTGCGTTTCATTTCGGAAGTTCGTCACGAGGACTACAGTGCGGCCATCCCCAAGTTCAGCTACTCCTCTCGCAGCGCCTATTCCTCTTCCCAGTACCAATTGAAGGTTTCCCTCCCGAAGAATGTCGCCGCGGATAACTGCATCAGTCACGACGGTTACGACGACACTTGATCGCGGCGGCAGAGTAACGTGGTCGGCAGCGACTCGGGCGGCAGCTGACGCTGTTCGGGGTGTCCCTGAAGGTGGAAGAGGTGTACTCAGCGTCAATCTGTTTTTACCAAGGTCGATAAGAGCGCCGTATTCGCACAAAAATCCATGCCGAGGATGACGTCTCTGGCAGAGTCTTATAGAATAGCGAATTTCACAGGACACGTCTTGCCGTGAACCTCGGCGGGAGCAGTGCATCTTCCGACTGGCGTGATGAGATGTCCCCCGGCGGTCCGTATCTGTGGGCCATCCCACAGCGTCGTCACTTTCCGAAGGCGTTGGGAGAGCCTCCCACTCAGAACGGAGTAGTCTGCTTAGTGTCAACGAGAGCCGACGCGTCGTGGCCGTCGAGAACCGTGGTCGGCAAAGAAAAGGTTGTCGATCCTCTCAAAGGGAGGCTATGCCGAGGTGGTGCGCAGGGGCCCTGCACCACGCTCGGAGTCGAGGGCCACCCAGGTCTCGCCAGAGATGCTGGCAGTGGCCCTCAAGCCCCCAACTCCTGAACGCAGGGAGCTGCACCCTCAGAAGCCTCGAGGGAGCACGCAAGCTGCCCTCTCACAGAGTGGGACGGCGGCAGCCATGCCCACTGTCCCTCCTGGACCCTCCCTGAGAGAGAAGGAGCGAAGCCCTCGCTCCAACTCGCTTGGGAGGGGCTCTTCTTCTGGGGAGCGGCGCGACTCTCGCACCGCCCCTGGCTCTAATGGAGTGGAACCGATGGAGCAGGACAATTTTCCCAGCTCCTCCTCCACTCCTCCCTGTGGATCGGGCCGAGAGCGGCAACCGCCCTCTCGAACACCCGATCACCCGAAGCCTGCAGGCAAGCCTGCCTGCAAAACTTGGGAGATGGAAGTAGCAGCTGAGGCTGCTGATCCATCCACAAACCTGTCTGACTTCGAAGACACGGATTGACAGACCCCAAAACCCAAAACCCAAGAACAAAGCAAAAACGCCTCTTAAGCCTCCGAAATAAACCCTCTACCCAAGGCGTTTA